AGTTGAAGTCCACCCATCTTAAAGTTGCCAAGGTTGAAGAACCCTGAGTTAGGCCATAGGAGTCAGACCAGAGGATAAGCAGTCTATCTGTCTGTCCTTCTTTGTAACACAGGTTCTGTAACCTTGCAAAAATGTGCTACTGTAACTTTCCCCCAACCAACACCCTCCAAATAGGATGATACTATTATTCCTACAATTACTGGCCATACTAGCTGGAGTTATATTCTATGATTTCTGCAATGTGTTCGGTTGCACAATGGGATTAGCAAGGCTGGTTCTCATATGCACCTTCAGCGGAGCTGCAACTGCAAGGGTGGACAAACCTCTTCAGCTGGAAGGGTACACTTTTTCCTCCTGCCTGGCTGGGGGCCCAAAAACATATGGCTGGTGACACCATAACATCACTGGAGCAAGGGCAGAATTTTGGATATTAAAAAAAATGGGCGGGGGTCAAGGAGAAATTAGTGCCTCTGGAAGACATAAGGACTCCATTTTGCCCCTTAATCCCCACATACAGGAAAAAAAATTGCCTTGTAAACTTGCCCTGTAAACTTACCCTTCCCAATACAATATATAATCCTATATAATCCTGATCACACAAACTCTGGGTTCCTTATCCTGCTGCTGTAGTGGTTAGCGTGTCAGGTTCAAATCCTCACACAACCAGGATTTTCACTGGGCCAGACCTTATATCTCAGATTTGTTTACCTCACAACTGCAGTAAAGGGAAAATGGAAATGGGGTCTACAAAGTACATCTTGAAAAAAGACAGAATAGAAATGAACTAATAAACAAATTGGCTTTTGAGTCTATTTGCAAATTAGCATTGCAACGTTTGGTAGGCAATTTAGTATTTGTAAACTGGAGACTGACTTCACCCTCCCAGACAATTAAACCAGATCACCCTTGCATATCTTGGTAGATGGATACCATAAAATAAAGCACAATAAAAACATTGTGAGTTGTGCTTAAATACAAAATGTGCTTAAGTATGCAATTCAGGCTGATCTCTGCTATTAAGCTAGCAGTGTCTTTTTTTACTTTCTGAGTGATCTTCACAACTAGTTTAGTAAATAAGAGTCTAGTCTGAAGGATATTTCAATTTCCTATAGAATCACCACAACATTTCAAAGCTAAGCTGATGAGGACACTCAAGGCCATGGATCTGGATATCCATTGGCAGAATGGGACTTATGTGTACCAAATGGAAATGATGGTCTTGGTGCTGTTGGTGATGGAACTAATTAAGATAACAATACAATATACAGCACTTGCTTCAGGGAGAAAATACAAACTGACAGATCCAAGGAACTTCACTGGATTCCTTGGACATCTGCAATTAATTCTTTTGCAGCACCAACTCACCTTGCTCATTAGGAAGAACTATTTTGGACAACATGGATCGAATAACTGGAATGGGTATAAAAAGGAGCATAGATGGCACTCTCACTGCAAAATAGAAATCACATGAGTCAACAGTATTTAAAATAACCACTCCAAATAGTGAATCAGTTTATATAGGCTTTAACTGTAGCAAATAACAGCCAAGATATCTGGGTAACAAGCGTGGTAGCACCTTTCAGAAATCCTCACGGATTTAATGCAGGCAAAAGATGCCCCCCCAAATATATTTCGCACTCCTGCCATTTCCATTGATACACTACTAAACCGAGACATCCTTGACTGTAATTTAAAATCTGTAATTCCAAGTATCTGCGAAGTCCTTGAGGTTTTCTGAGCTTGGTTGTTTTAGGGTAAAAGGAAACAAAAAGATCTGAACACCTCCTTGCCAGCAATCAACACCCAGATAAGCAGGAATTAACACCAGGATTAACATCAGACAATACCCTTAAACAATAAACATAAACAATACCCTTATCAAGGAACTACCAGCTCAGCAAACAATCAAGTAGTAAACAACAGCCTAATCCAAGGAGAAAACCACACCCCCACCAACACTGACAGCACAAGCTACTGTATATAAACAGAGAGCAAACCCCCACTCCCTTCTAACACTGAAGATGTTACCTAGCTGGGTAATGAAATGTCTGCAAGAAAACATCCAAGCTCAGAGCACACCAAGGACTCCAAGCTCAACGCTGAGCTGTATATATTCTCTTCTACTGAAAAGTATTTGCACGTACAGATCCTCTTCTTGGTTAACAATATCCCACAAACACACAGAGACAAGACCAGCAGACGTATCAAAAACCAGGAATGAAATTAGTGGCATAATCTCATCCGATCCTCCGTGGAATTCTTCTGCACATCTGCTATTAACTGCTCATACCTATTACTTATTTGCTAGCTGGAAATGTCCTTTTCAGACTGAGTTCAACATTAGTTTGGGGGAGGGGGGAACTAGAAGTCTAAAGGTTTCCTATTCACAGAGAGAAGTCTTATACTCATATATCTATATTTTTCTTGGCTGCCATACATATTTATTTTGTGCTGTATTGTACTTGTTTTAATTGTTTTTATGATTGTTTGCTGCCCACTTGGTTGAGATGGGCGGCTGTAGATGTTAAAAAAAACAAAAAAACCTATATGCATATTTCTCCTTTTAAATAAAAATTTAAAAGGAGAAATATGCATACCAGCCTAGGAGATGGCCAAGGGAAGGCCCAAGTAGACAAGACTCATAATGTCATGAATCTCAATAGGAAAATCATAAACAATATATTTGTCCACTTAGGAATTTTGTATAAGTGAGTAGCCAACATATCTAATGTGCAGCTCTTTCAGAAGAGGATATTGGATATTACCTTGTGTGCACATATTTTAACTCTGGTATGTGGATGAACCTGAAGTAGCAAGGTATTGTTCATGCACAGAAATTGAAAGCAGGAATTCATTGCATTCAGATTTTAAATGCAATAGAGATCCTGGAGGTGTTTCTGCTTCCCCCACTGAACCCAATATTTGTCTTGCTAATAACACCAGTCATGGGGTAGGTGGGGTACAGCAAGGTAGAAAATGGGCAAGGGTCATGAAATATGTTATTTAATTAGTTGCAATGTTCTCTTATTCAGAAGCATTGTACGGACAGTAGGCCAGTAGGACATTGTACGGACAGTAGGAAAAATGGGAAGTTATCACATTCCCTAAGCCAGCAAACTAACTGAATGAAATGACTGAAACACAAGAAAATAATAGACATAGAATGACAGCCATTTGTAGCCAAGTATCCACTATGGGTCTCTTCTGGTTATGCAAATCAGTTTTGAGGCAGGAAGTAGAAGATTCTGCTCTATTTCCCTGTGCCATAAAAATGTGTATGAACTTTGTCCTGAGGGAAAAGTCAGTTTGGGTGATCCTTTTACTGCTAGTTTTCAGATGGTGAGTTAAAATACTGCTATTTCAAGAGAGCCTTTTGGGATAATTAAACTTAATTGTTGGTCTAAAAGTTCTACTGTTTGCTGTTGTTTTTATTGTAGCTTATACTGTATTTTACATCTGCAAGGTGCTAAGTCACCTTGCAGATCCTAAAGGGATGGAAATTGGAATTTGAACCACAATTTTTCTAAAAGACCACAAACTTTCTTCCCTTCCATTCTACAGAGTCGAAGTGTAGAGCTTGTACCTTGTATGAAGAATCCCTTGGTTCAATCCCTGGCATTTCCAATTAAAAAGTTTGGGCAGAGATGACAAGAAGGACCTTGGACTAGTGCCATAAATAATGTAGAAAATATTAGGCACACCAATTTTCTAATCACTTAATGTTGCTCAATCTTGGCAACTTTAAGATCTGTGGACTTCAACTCCCAGAATTCCACAGCCTGGAAAATTCTGGAAGTTGAAATCTACACATTTTAAAATTGCCAAGATTGATTAACACTGATCTACATCACCAGAATTTTTACTGTCATCTTTGAACTTAACCAGTCCAGTGGTAAACTTACCCAAAAACATCAGCAATGTAGTGTTGGCAAAGGCGGCCATGATACTTCCTCCAATATAAGAGAAGATTCCAATAAAAACAAGGTAGCTCTCTCTCAGATACTCAGAAAGTAAAACAATCCCTAGGAAACCAGTCAGAGAAACTGTGGTGGACGCTGCTGAGCCATATCCTATATAAATGGCATTCCAACAGAGGGGAGCGTTCAGTTCATACAGCACATAGAGACTAGTCCCTCCAAATGCTGCGAAAAGGTAAGTCATGAACGTACAAAGCAGCAAGATGATTAAAATTCGCTTCTTATAGGAGGAGGATTTAAAGAGCATATATACTCCAGAAAGAGTTTCTTTAAGACCTTCCCGCCAAGATTGTGTCTGGAATGCCGAGACACTCACTGTTTCATCCAAGCAAAATATGACATAGATAATGTTGACCGTGTGAAGTAGAAAAATGATGGCAAATGTCCACCTAAAGTCTATTAGTTTTAGAATGTACCCTGAGGCCAGTCCTCCCAATCCAGATGCGACTCCATAAATGAAGTCGACGATAGCTATTCGGATGACCTTCTGTTTTTGAGTCTTACAGCAATCAACTGTGAAGGCAAAGGCCCCTCCAAGAAAGGTAGCCATGTCCCCTAACAGGGCACAAACAAAGGAGAAAACGAAGAAAAGGTAAAGGGGCAAAGAAAAGTCTGACATAGCCCAGAGAAAGGCACTGCTGATAAGATTCCCCACCAGAGGAAGAACCAACGATATTTTGCGTCCATATCGATCACTATTTGCTACTAGGACAAAGGCCACCAAAATGCTAAAAACTACCCCACATAGGTCCGTTTTCATAGCAAAGAGGGAGGCTTTTTCTTGGACTTCCTGAAAGAAGAAAAGAAATAAAATAAGAACAGGGAAAAATCAGTCAATGCATGTATTTTAATTCATCTTTTGGCCTCATCTCTAAGCAGTCATTCTGGTTTACTACAAAGCCTTACATATAGAAACCAGCAATCAAAGATACTATGACATATTCCAAAGCCGTTGCTACGATAATTAAATAGCAAACACATTAAAAAGAGCCTTGTAATGATATAACAGATTTATTTGGCTAAACATTTTACATACTGGGCTCCAGTTTATCCAGTGCATGAAATATTAGTTGACAGTATATTGATATCTAATGTATTTATCCTGGATATATAGGTAGTGTGTATGATATGTAACCAAACTGTGGAATCAACAGGCTTTGAAATGCAACAAACACTATTTGTGACATTTTCCAAAGTGTTCAAGTAACTAGCACTCAATTTTCTTAACACCTGAACAGCTTTGAATCAAGTATGTGATATTCTATTGTAAACCTTATCTGGCTGAAATACTGTGAAACACCTGAAATATTCCATTTTCCTTTAAGCTGGGGCGGGGGAGTGTTTTTAGTGTTCATTATGCCCTAAGCAATTTGAACAAAGCAGCCAAAGCCATTGGGACATAGAAATGTTTTTTTAATACCAGCACATTGTTCTAAATTCAAATTAGAACCACAGAAAGTTGCTTTATACCAAGGTATTGGTATGGCTCAAAACACTGTATGGCTCTACACTGACTAGAAGAGATCTCCAAGAGTTTAAAAAGTAGTCTTTCCCCATCTTTATCTAGAGATGTCAGGGACTTTGGACCTTCTGGGTGCAAAAGCATGTGCTGCACTGGTAAAATCCAGCCCTGGGGCTACGGTTGTGCTGGCAATGCAAACTACAACTAAGCAAGCATAGCCAAATAAAGAAAAAGATTAACAAGGCCACAAAAATGATGATCTGAGAACTTGGAGAAGGGTGAAAACACAATGGCGAGAACAAAGATTTAAGGTTATCTACTACTGTTATTTTCACCACAATATTTTTCTATTCATATATTTAATCAGCTCAATATGGCCTCCATCCTTTCTCCGGATACGATCATAGCACGTCAATGATTGTATGTGGGGGAAGGCAGACGAAGGCACATCAGACAAACAAACTCCAGCAACTCGGTTAATATAAACTGAGCTAGCTTACTTTGGCATGCCAATTAGAGGAAAATCAATCTGGCTTGAAACACATTAGTTACGGAAATCAGTGGGATTTAGGCACAGCTAACTTTGTCCAGAACTACATCCAATGAAGTTTTCACATCTGCATATCAACCTTCACCAATCTGGTATCCTTTAATGGACTGGCACAGCAGCTCCTTCCTGGCAACATGGCTAGAAATTCGGAGAGCTGAACTCTGGACACATCTGGAAATACTGGGTTTGGAAGCTGCATGTTAAAGACTCTTGAGTCAGCTTGATTTCTGGTGACTACTTGGGCACACCTCTATAGTTAATTTGGCAGCAATATGGCAGTAGGCTTCTGAAGTAATGAAAAAAGGTGCAGAGGTATTTAAAGGGGGAAGAATTACTCCCAATTTATATAAAATTCTGAAATGATTTGAGGATTCTGAGTGCAGGCTAGTGGAGGGATTAGAAAGGACACATTAACTTCTGAATCAATTACAATTAATACTTTAAGCCAGTATTTCTCAACTGTGGCAACTTTAAGATGTGTGGACTTCAACTCCCAGAATTCCCCAGCCAGCCATATTGAGCATGGCTGGCA